AATCCTGGCTTACTTTTCATTTGTCCATATTATTTATTATCAGTTGTATATGATGGAGGTCTACAAAGGCAGGGATCTTTGTTTTATTGACCCATTTACTTCAACTACCTAGAACAGTGCCTGGCATGTGCTTGGTAGACAGTTATATTTGTTGAACAAATAAATTAATGGTGAATTGGTGTGTGTTTTTTATTTGACGATAATAAAGGTACTATCCTGGCTAGAAGAAACATTATATTGTTAACAAAGTAATTGTAATTCACAATCACTGAATAATCAAAAACTATTTATTTTTGAATTCAAAATCATGGACATTTTTCCCCCAAAGATTCATGGAAGGCCCTCAAAATCCATAGTATGAAGGTAAGCGGTAAAGTCCTATTTGATTTTGAGTTAGCAAGTAAACTGGAAATTTGGAGAGCACTTTTTAGTTGCCTTCATCTAGGAAACCAGGCCTACCTTAGACCAGTTGCCTGCCCTCAGTGCAAAGATAGGGGAACTAGCATTTTGGCGCAGAATCAAAATTCTCTCCTGTTGTTTGGTGCCAGTTGGTCAAACCCCTTGCTGCATCTAGAGCTTTTCCTGGCAACACGCTGTGGTCTGGGACCTGGGCCTGTGTCCCTGGCTTGTACTTTCTGGTCTCCTAGTTACGACTTCTAGCCCTTCTTTCTAATCTCCTTGCATTGTGCACACTCATGCCCTCTGCTTGTTCCTTGAGCCTTGGCTGATTCTCCCAATCCTGGCCCATGTGATAGGTACAGAGATGCATCACTCAGATCCCCTTTTCAGGAATACTTGTTGGCCAGCTGTGGCAAGTACGATCGGCAGGCAGTCTCCAACGGCCAGCCCCACCGAGGACTGCCTCAGCTTCCAAGGCCGGCCTGCCCCACGGTCACACCTTCCCTAGGCAGCCTTCACCTAGTGATGGACACTCTAAGGAGCAGCGCTTGCTCCAGGGCCCGCTTTAGATTGGCCAAGGTGTTGCCAGGCATGATCATAACCCAACTTCTCCCTCTGCCCAATCCTGCTTCCACTGCTTCCATTTACAGGCATCGATCTCTAATAAACACCTGTATCCCCAAACACCATCTCACTCTCTGCTCTGGAGAACCCAACTGGCAACAACCTCCAACTCTCTTGAATGTCAAAATTGAGAACTCCGAAGAGGCAGGCAGTGAAGCAGACTATCTGTGAGCAATGCTCGGGGGGTAAGACATGATACATAAGAGACAGAAGCAATGTTATAACTGTAATGAGTCCTTGTTGTGTTATGTGTACTTAACATCAGCTAATAACATAAGAAAGCTGTTTGCTTTTCTTAATGTTTTGCTTTCAAAGTAGCTTTCTTAAGGCTTGAGCAAAACTCTCTTCTCACTTACCCTCTGGAAAATTCTCATTTTAAATTGATCATTCTTATACAAGAAAATAAAACATCAATTCTGGAGGTAAATCAGAACATAATTTAGGATTATGGAGGACCTTGGGAAACTGAGCTTGCTATCTATATTATAAAAGGCCTGTGGCCCTAATGCCGTAATGACCAAAGACCGGCGCAGGTGGGGGGGCTGTGTGATTTCGCGCGCTGGGCTTCTAGTATTATATAATTCATAAGAATGTCATCATGAAATGTATATATTGACAACATCTATTTGTAACAATACACTTTCAACCACATAACTTTGTTTCAAAACACTTTTCAGATAGAGTGGGTCTAAGATATAGTGAATTTGTCATTAATATTGTGAATACTTCTTTTGGTATCACCTTATGTTGGCCCAAATCATTCACTCCTACTTTACTGTGATATTTCCCCATATTCTTGTAGGTAAAACTGCCTTTGCTCCAGTGCATTTTAGCTAGACCCCCACGCATGCACAGGCACTGCCTCCCCCTTTCCTGAGGGTGAATACAGTTAGCATTTTCCAAACCCCTCCAGTCACCATGCAATCCTTTGAGTGGCTGATTTCTGTGCCAAGTCCATTGGGCTTGGCCCCTGATGAGCGGTTCTGAATTCCAAAGGCTGCCTGTTTTAAAATTCATGAGCTCCTCAATGAGGCGGCTCCTTCTCTGGCTGCCCCACTGCTCAGTTAGTTCAGACAACAAGTTGCTGAGGGATGGATAATTTTTCATTTCAGCTGCCAGAACCTACAGGGAGGTGGGTATTTTCCTGCTATTGTGGAATTTTCAGAAGTTTGGGAAACAGAGGATTTATTTTTTTGTTTTGTTTTGATACAGGACATTCTGACAATGACTCTGGCAACGATACAAAAATCTCCATGCTTGTAAACCAGAATACCATTTGCAGCCATCTGGCCTGCGTGCAGCACCCTCTGAGGGGGACAGATATAGAAACGGTTAGCAATTAAGAGGTTTGAAATGGCTTTCCCATTAATTTCTGAACTGAACTATCCCATGATAAAGGTATAATGGGCAATGAAGGGGTTGCTGATTCTTTGTCAGCACACTTCCCATCATGATAAAAATTCTCTGACAAACTGCATTTCTTAATTTCTCAACCCCTCTCCACTACCACCACCACCATTCACCCAGATTTCTGGATTCAAAATTTCTTTTGTCCAAAATATCACATTCCCAATCGTGATAAACTAAAAAAATCCATTAAAAGATCCACAGTATGCCCAGTTGTGTTTATCATTCTCCTTTTTTAATATGACCAACGCTTGATTCCAAAGAACAGACGAAATCCCTTTAAACAGCATAATGTGAATCACTGGCTTTTCATTTTAAGTTTCACCTTTAAATGATAAGCACTAAATATTTTGTTAGGATAGTTTTGAACAATAAAACACAGAAGAAAGTTTTAATTCTTGAAACCTAAAGACATCGTTCCTATAGATCAGGAAATATGACTTGCAACCTCTTTAAAATTATTTAAAGGTTTTCATAATAATAATTGGCATTATATATCAGGATATACAGATAGCACTACAAATTGTAGTCTTGTTACTTTCCAGGGTAATAATAAGAGACCAAAGTTATCCAGTGATCTAGAAACAAACTCTAAGGAGTTACACTGAAATTAAAGAGGAGAGAGTGAGAGAGAGTCTAGGAGAGGTTGTCTGTTTCCTCCCACGCAGCCTGGGCCTCAGATTTCTGTCCTGCCTGTCCAGAACATGATCTGCTAGTAGCAACCTGCAAAGCGGGCTTTGTGCTGTCGCTGATTTCGCACTTTTTACATACAGTCACATGTTTTTATCTGAGGCTTGCAAAGATTTCTCACCAACTTGTCAAGTTCAGAAAACCCAGAACTGGAAAGAGATCAGACAAGAGTTTTCCCAGACAAATGAGCATGTTGGAGGAAGCCGCTGTCAGTGGCAGTGGGAATTTCCCCTGTGCTTGAGCACACTTTGCAGCACCGTGAAGACATTAAGAAGTTATGGTTTCATGCACCTGGCTAGTGATTTACGAAGTTGCCTCCTGATTTAATAGAGTGCTAGGAAGGCCTGTTGTTATACCAACTAAAAGAATCATAAAATGGTAATGAATGTTATGAAACTTCATGAATATTTCATCTGAAGGCTGTTAGATTTATCTTGAGGTTAAAGAGCACATAGGCCATAAATCAGGCCCAAGATGGAGTTGCTTGAGGTTCGTACTTAGTGAGAATGTTGACATGTTAGGTAAGGCTACAGGTGTTTATCACGTTAGTCACATGTTAGAACCCAGTGACTGAATATAAAGAAAAAAATTCAGTTTTAAAATACATAATATTGAAAAGGATCACCAAAGGTTTCTAGGAAGCATTTGGTGTTATTTTTTTTGAAACAATATCGACTTTATTGTAATTTTTCATTCATTTATTAAGTATTCAAAACTATAATCAATATTCAATAAAAAGTTATCATGAGGCTATTGAATAGGTGTGATAAAATGAAACAATGAGTATAAAGCCTGTTCTTTAACTATGAACTACATATAACCATTTACATTAAATCTTTACTATATCGTCAGTATCAAGGCAATTTCTCACTTGGAATATTTATAGTTAGTTTAAAATTCAGTAGTTATTTTGTTAGATAGGTATATTTTATTTCTTCCAATAGAACAAAAAAAAATTATGCTTCCCCAGGCTATACTAACGGCACAGAAGTGAAATTTACTTCAGTGATTATGGGATTTCCCTTCTAGCTTTGTAGCTAGGTGACAGCGAACCCCTTAACTCTTTTAAATTAAGGTTTTCCCTTGTCCTATATTTTCCAAAGTGTGAGAAATTTTATTTAAATATGGATATAATCTTTCTGAAAAGTTTTTATTTACCTGGCAGTGGAAATGAAAACATAAGACCTCATTCATTCATTTGATCTGTCACTCAGAATATTTGTGAACGCCTAGTATGTGATGTGTACTGCTAGGTGATGGCGATGATATGGAAGATGGGCAAAATGTGATCCCTACCTGCAGAATGTTTGGCTTCAAGAGGGGCACACGTAATTAAATAAGAAATTATAAAAAGTGTGATAGCTGACATAATAGAAGCTGTGATGAGGGTACATGGGAGGGATACATGCCCCAGAACTTAGGGGTCAAAGATAGCACCTAGAGAAAATAATGTCTAGAATCAGACCCACCTGAACTATGAGTAAAGTCATAATGAAGGAGGATGTAGACTAGGAAGAAAGAAAAAACATGATCTAGCAGAGGAGCTGAGGAAAGCTTGTAATGGATAAAGTTCATTGAATGTGCACTTTTGTGGAAGAGCATGGGAAGACGGAGGGAAGGAAAGGAGGCCATAGACCACACCTATAAACCCTGCCAGGAGCTGGAACTCCTCCTCAGGACAAAGACCCTCACTGAGGGGGTTCAGCAGGGTAGTGATATCTTAAACTTCCGTTTCATCTTGTTTAAAGTTACATGCCTTGTTTGGTAGAGAAAATGCTTTAGATGTCTACTCTTCATACTAGAATGAACACCAAGAATTTTATCAATGTTTAAGGCAGTGACTGATGGTTTTGAAAGCAGTATTGTTTTTTTCTTTTCCTCAATGTCTCTCCATTCACAATACAGACCAGGCCAAAGGCCTGAGCTGCGGTGTATATGGGGTGGGCTTACTCTGATCCTATTTCTGTACAGTCAGTGTAAGAACACAGCCTATGGTAAGCACCAGGCCTAAAAGCAGTTTTATAAAGAGAGTTGCGAGTGGGAAATCCAATTATTTATGTAGAAAATGTTGAACATCACTAATGCTCTTAAATGGTGGAAAAGAGAATGATCAAGATACATGTCTCTAAGAATAAAGTCAGATAAATAAACATAAAAGGATTTCCTCATAAGAATGGAGTAGTTGCAAAGTTAGATCATGAGATTTTTTTTATGGAGGTCTTAAAAATATAAATTATCTTTCATTTTAAAAAGGAAAAAAGTGGCCTACATTTTTTAAAAAATCATTCCTCAAGGAGGTGTATTTCTGAATTTCTGCACCCTCATTCTGCTCAATACCAAGAATATGGAGTATTAACATAATAACTAGTATTGATTAAGGGAATACGTCAGTCCCTAGTACTTTACATATGTTAGTCTATTTAATCCTCATTTTTAGATCTATATAGTAAACACTATGATTACCCCTGTTGTAAAGATGAGGGAACTAGGCACAGAGTTAAGCAATGTGCCTACATCATCCTGTCAGTGAGCTGCCGAGCTGGGACAGGAGCCCTGCAGGCAGGCTCTTAACCACTGTTCTCCGTCGGGACATACTACACGGTGACAGAGTTTACACGGTTTTTATTATAATAATCAGTAAAAATGTCAATAAAATTTACCACAAAAAAGAAATCTGTTCCTGGTTACCCTTTAATATTGTCTTATGATTGTTTATGAGGGAGTTCATACCTAGAGGAAGAAGAAAATCCAATTTGACTTTCTGGGAGGCAGACATACTTTTGCAGATTTGCCACCTGCAGCAGTGCCTTTGCACACTGATAACAGTGGTGTGCTGCTGTGGGAACCCCGCCAGAGACGCCTGATAGTCAAGGCCAATTAGAGCACAGAGGCCTTGTGGTCAACACCCCAAATGTCCAGGGCCACTCTGTACCGAGGCTAAGATACCATAAGCAGGTGCAAGGACACAAGCACAACAATCCCACGGTATACTGCGCATGTGTGTCCTTCTGTAGCCACAATATGATCGGTGTAACTATTGGCACAAAGCCTTCTTTGTCTCTGGAATAATATACAAGTTACTGACCAGCCAGTGTGCTGGAGTGTGAAGAAGTGTGCTGGAGAGACAGAGCTGAGAGCTGGGACTGCTACCATGTATGGCTAAGAGCTTCTAGAGAGCTCAGATATAGCTACCGTGTTAACCAGCCAGAGAGAGGCTCAGAGGTATTTACTATGTGAGGCTACAGAGAACAGCCAGTGTGCTGGGCAGGAGAGACAGGAGAAGCTGCTAAGGCGGTGAGTTTAGAGGCAGCATGTGGCTGCTCAGGTAATAGCTGTGGGTCCAGAGACTGCTACTACTCTGTAAAAAAGATATGTATTTGCCAGCTGGTGTGCAGTTAGCTATATGGACTTTGTTGTGAAAGACTGTGTTGTCTGATGCCTATATGGCCACTGGCTTCTGCAATAAAGACTCATTCTTATATACCCACAACTTTTCACGGCTTCTACATCTAAGACCCAACGTCCTAGGAGGTCCAGCCTCAGGCAGAGGGGCTCGGGTCCAACACCTGTAACTAGTGAGCAGAAGGTAAACGTCCTAGGAGGTCCAGCCTCAGGCAGAGGGCTCGGGTCCAACACCTGTAACTAGTGAGCAGAAGGTAAAGGAGGAACTTGGACTAAGTTCCCAACAGTTAGCGTAGTGAGTAGGGTTTGAGAAGGAACCTACTCTGGCATAGTCGGGAAGAATTTAGAAGAATACATGGACTCGGAACAACTCAGAGCAGCAGGGCGATGCGGTGCTCTTGCTGCACCTGACAGCTGCTTAGGACGGGGATATGTTGTGAGAGTTGCATCATCAGGAGATTTTGTGGTTGTGTGAACATCACAGAGTGCGTTTACACCAACCTCTATGGTACAGCCTGCTCCACACCCGGGCTACATGGTATATAGCCTACTGCCCCCAGGCTACAACCTGTACGGCATGTTATTGTACTTAATACTATAGCAGTTGTAACACACTGGTAAGTATTTGCAAATATAAACACATCTCAACATAAAAAGATACAGTAAAGATATGATATAAAAATAAAAACTTATAAACCTGTATAGGGCACTTACCATGAGTGGAGCTGGCAGGACTGGAAGTTGCTGCAGGTGAGTCAGTGAGTCACGGGGGAGTGAATGTGAAGGCCCAGGACATTACTGTCCACTACTATAGACTCTCTAAACACGACACACTGAGACTACATGAAATTTATAAAAAAAGTTTAAATCTAGCATGAGAGAAAATGAAGTCAATTTGTATGAGGCTGTTGCTGAAACAATATAAAATACTGTTTTACAGCACACTTTTTTTAAATAGAAAGAATATACTGTAAAGTAACAATAAAAAGTACAGTGTAGTAAACACATAAACCAGTAACACAATATTTGTTCTCACTATCAATTATTATGCAGTGTACATAACTGTATGGGCTATACTTTTATATGACTAGCAGCACAGCAGGTTTAATTTCACCAATGTCACCACAAACACATGAGTAATGTGTGGTACTATGATGTTACCATGGCTACAACATCACTAGGAGGTAAGAATTTTTCAGAATTATAATCTTATGAGACTACCATCAAATATGTGGTCCGACATTGACCAGAACATCATTATGGGGCACATGACTATGTCAATGAATGCACTTTGTGTTCTTACTTTGGTTCTAGTGTACAGTAAATGCATTAAGCACATGACATCATTTGTAAGGCAATAAATAATTTTAAAAAATTTCCTTCAAATAATATGTCACACTGAACTGTCACTCTCATTACCCTAAACTGAGTTATAATGTTATTACCTAGGAGATGTCATATTCTTCATTCTAAATGGAAATCATGGTTTAATTTCTAGAGGAAAACACCTTACATGCTTAAGCCCATGTATAGAGCATAATACCAAAGTGTCCCTGATACAAAGAGTCATTTGTTCAATTTCTGACCTGCTCCACCCTAAAGAACAAGGAGAACATAGGATGACAAAATGTTTCAAGCAGCAACAGATTAATAGTCAAAATCTGTTTTCTATATTTTCATTCATTTTGAATGAATCCAAAGTCTAATCTTAATGCTAATATAAATGCAGCAAACTGAACCATTAAATTGACCGTGTGATCTATCACACTTCACACTGCTTTATAAGCAAAATGTATCATTTTCAGGGGTTTTCTCCTAGTTAAATAATTGTAAGAAATATATCTTTTGCCACTAGTTTCATTGATAAAATACAGCACATCACTTAATTCATCCTTCCACTGTTCTATCATCTTCTACCAAGTGATTGGGATTCTGATCACCCTGTGTTCTGCTCTCAAATTGAAAGCCTCTATTTACTCATCTGTTATTCTTCACAAAACAAAGCTCTAGTGTAACATCTGTTTTCTTACTGAATCTTCACCAGAGACTCAGATGCCACAAGCAATAACCTTGGGTTTCTCTCAGAAATCCTTGAGGGTCCCTGCTATGTCAGGGCTTGAATCTAAGAGAATTCATGGACAGAGTGCCGTTATTCAATTTTCATTTTCTGAATTTGATTTGGGGTACATGAGCTTGATTGAATAATTACTGATCTTTGAGGCTAGACATCACTTGATGAAAAAATTTAGAAGCTAGAAGCTTTAGCTCCATACCTTTTTCTCCACTGATGTTCAGCTAAGTTCACATCTTATTTTAATCTCAGGACACAGAGAACATTTGTTTTGTCTCAATCAGGTACTTTAATGAAATTCCCTGCTTCTAATACCAAATGATAATTTATAATTTCTAGTCTGAAAATGGCATCAATTTTGGAAAAATTTGTTTGCATTTCTTAATGGAATTTGCTGAAAATTTATTTATCCACTTAATTCAAATTACTGAGAAAAAGTTACAAATAAATTTCAATCAGAAGCAGATTTTGGCCGTAACACAAGTCTGAAGAAATAAATGTCCTAGAAAATTTGTAGATATTGGTCATTTTTAAAATTAGTCATAATATATGCTAAGTAGCCAAATTGTATGGTTTACACTAATGTGTATGTGTGTGAATTAAGACATAAACATATTCACACAAATACTTAGATGTATATTCCATATTAATAGAATTGTTTTCAGTTTTCTTTTTTTTTTTTTCAGCTGTATTAAGGTAAAATCCTGTATAATAAAAGCCTAATATGCTAAGTGTCTGGTCGTCTGGTCATCCGTTCAACCAAACAAAGCATAATATGCTAATGAATGATATGCTAAGGCCGCTCAACTGCTCGCTGTGACATGCACTGACCACCAGGAGGCAGACAGTCAACCGGTCGACCAGTCACTATGACACGCACTGGCCACCAAAGGGCAGATGCTCCGACTGGTAGGTTAGCTTGCTGCTGGGGTCCGGCCAATTGGGACTGAGTGAGACAAGCCAGACATGCCCTGGAGCCCTCCTGTCTCCCTCCCTGGTCTCAATCGTGCACCGGTGGGATCCCTCAGCCTGGCCTGCACCCTTTCGCAATCCGGGACCCATCAGGGGATGTCATAGATCCGATTTCAGCCTGATCCCGCAGGCTAGGCTGAGGGACCCCACTGGTGCATGAATTTGTGCACCAGGCCTATAGTACACAAATAAAATTATAAAATATTTAAAGTGTACATTGTCATGATGTGGTAGACATATGCATTGTAAAAGGAGAGCTCCCATCTACTTAATGAACCCATCTAACACCTTATTTATTTACTAGAGGCCTGGTGCACAGATTCGTGCAACAGTGGGGTCCCTCAGCCCAGCCTGTGCCCTCTCGCAATCTGGGACCCCTCGGGGGATGTTGGACTGCCAGTTTCAGCCCAATCCCCGCAAGCCAGGCTGGGGGACCTGCAGGGATCGGGCTGAAACTGGCAGTCCAACATCCCCCAAGGGATGTAGTAGTATGCAAAGCAGTAGGCAGTCGGAGAGCGGCCTGCCACCACTGCCACTAGGTAAGCTCACTGAGCAGCACTCCC